GTTAAAATTTCCTATTATTCTAATAATTTATCATAATTATATCTATAATATTAACATAATTATATCTCTAATGTTATAAATATTATATTTAATTTTATTATAATAAAATTAATATTATATTTAATATTATTACTATTATATCCATAATATTAATAACAAATATTTTAATTCTTTATTATTCCCTAATGATCAATACAAAGCAATATTTTCTAGTGTACGCGCACTATTATACATTATTAATTATTATATATCATTAACGAAAATTACTATCTAATTCCCAGAAATTAATTAAATCTTCTTGCTTCTCTCTCTTTCTCGGTGGAAATGAAACTTATTTTTGCGAATTAACGCGGGATTTAGCGCGCGATAAATAACGTCCAAACTATTCAATCGCGCGCGCTGCACCGTGATGATAAATGACGGAGAGCCTGGACGAGAGACAGATTAACACGTTTCCACTATAGATTCGCCGTTTCCACGATAATCGACGGGAACCTCTCGGCTGATTGGCACGTATGCGCGGTGCGAGCCATTAGGGTGAGGATCCGTGAGGCCGGTAGGATTAGCCGATTTTGTAGAGCGCCGGCCGCATAATCGCGTCTTCGTTATCCTGTTAGGTCCTTCCGCTCTCCCCCGTCTCGATTTTCGTTCCGTCGACCCGCGCCGCCGGATCGCCACCCTCAATTAGTTCGCGTCAAGTGTCATCGCGGCAGATACTATACGTGACGTCTAATTTTAGAAACGGCGCTTTTGATTAACGCAAATCATCCTTCCCCCCCCCCCCGTCCCCCTCGCCCTCTTCCCTTCCTTCCTTTTTCTCGCCTCTTTATCCGTTCCTCCCATATCTCGCGCTTCCCGTTTTCGAAAATGGTCGCGTTAATAATATCGCCTGTTTCACATTCGACGATCAACCGTGCATTGGAATGGAAGATTCGCGGAAAATTTAACGTTGAGCGAGCACGCCATATATGTATGTAAGAGTGAGTAATGGCCGGGAATTTATTTTAATATATCAAAGGGATATTGCAGTTCGATAGCGAGAGATGAAAGGATCTATTTGTACGTTGAGAAAAGCGGACGCTGCATCAGAGAGAAAGATCGTCGGATAAAGAAGCGATTTTATTATGTAAACAAATTTTCATAACGGTTTATTTCTTCAGCTTTTTATCGCATGTTTTTTTTTTTCCAAGACTGTTATAAGAAAATTTCTAATTTTCTCTGTACGGTATATAAATTTCATAAGATATAATATACGTATAAGATATAATATACGTATAATAATGCATTATTAATCTATTTATAATTTGAGTGAAAGATGCAACTATTTCACAGGACATTACATCTTTTCCATCATGTTTAATATAATCAATAATAATAAAAAAAATTACTTATTTTTATTCTCTCAATTGTATATTTCATGTTCATATATTTAATTTTACACTTCTAATCGAATTTAATGTGTAAGTAAAAATTGAGTTTAATATATGCTCGAAACACAAAGAGTTCGCCAGTCACTTCATCACTAGCCTTTCATGATGAATGTTGCGAAACGTTTCTCTCGTAAGAATATTCAATTTCCAGTAATATCAATGCTAGCATTGTCGAGAAGTGGCTCCATCCTACTAGTAGTATGCATGGAGTTGATGATCCAGTTGTATGTAATGAGGTCATTCCCTCTGAATCGAGTTCGTGCGGGTAGGAAGGTGACGTATTGCGAATCGAACGAAGTAACTTTGTAGCCAACGGTGGTTTCAATTTCGCAGTAAAATGCCGTTGGCTCTGCGAGCGATTGCCTGAAGCTGTTGGCGATCTTTTTTTCTACATTCCGCTATTCTGATATTCACTTTGTTCCGCCCTTTTTTTATAAAAAGGAAGCTCCGGCTATTTCGCGCATGATGCTCGCAGCAAAAAGTATTAGTTCGCGTTTCTGATGAAGGATAAAATGCGCGTTCAAGTATATAGAGCATAGCAACATGTATTAAATTTGACAAATATTCAATAAATTTAGTGACGAATTCAATCCTGGTTTCTCATATCATACATTGAATTATGATGTCAAAAGAGAAAAATCACGTGAATACTTCCCTTTACGGAATAAATTAGAAATATTTTTCTCTTATATTGAATCAAATTAATTTTTTCATGTCAAAAGATAAATCAATGAATATTTTCCTTTGTTTTATGTGAATATTTCCCTTTACGAAATAAATTAGAAATAATTTTTTAAATAATTTTCTCTTATACGAATTGAAATAAATTAATTTTTTGCGTCATTATTTGCGTTCGATAGTATAAAATGTCAAAATATACCGAAGATTCTTTTTTTGATTATCAAATAATTGTAATTCTTTATCGCGATTGTCACGAGAGATTCGCTCGGAAATGTAGGTCATACATAAATGGTAATATATGAAAAGAAAGGAAAAATTAGTTTTCGGTATATTTTGTAAAGAAAAATTTACATAATTTTTCGCATTTGATGTCGTAATTAAAAAGGACTGCAGTAAAAAAAGAAGTCATAAAAATTATATGTCGTATAATATATACATTATTCTTCTCACATATACGTAGCTTCTTTTATGATAAAAATTTATTAATGATGAAAGATTTTATCAACTGTGCAAATTTTTATATTTTATTATATTATTAAATCATAAAATATTTAATTATTAGAGAAAGACAAATGATGATATTGTTTCTCGCAATTTTTTCAACTCTTTGTTAACGGATACATTCGAAAAACATTTAGATCGTTAATCGTAATTATCAGAAATTCGACACGCGCGATGAAATCAAAACCGTACGTTAATTGAGCGAGAATCATCGATGAAAAAACAACAGGAGTGGAAAGAGAAGGTTGAAACGAGAGAGAGATAGAAGAGAACGGAAGAAAAGGAGAAAGAAAGAAAAACAGGGGGAGAGAGAGAGAGAAAGTGCGATCGTAAGAAAGGATAGCCATGGATACAACGGGGTTTACGCTCGGAGTTTGACACAGTGAGAGACCGGCGTTGCTTGGCAACCTCTAAGGGTGGAAACCCACATTGGCGTAGGGTATATACTTGCGACGAATTTATGCACCATTACCATTCCTTATATCGGCCCACCCCGTGAGAACACGTGGAAAAACGTGAATGAACCCTAGCTATACAATCTGGCTCAGGATGAATACAACGAAATTGGCTGTTTATTCTCGTGACGTCTAATGATGCGCGTATTGTTGCGAGGAATATGTGTTGCGTGCACCGCAAATTAGCAGAAAGATAGCAATCTTCTCGGATGAAGTAACTAAAGCTCGAGCTATGTTCGCGTCACCCTTTATGCGCTTTATATATCTGAGTAATGAGACACTTTATTAAATTTGTTCGTGTTTCAAAGAATACGTCTCTCTTTTTTTTCCCCAGCAAAATATATTCGCTAGATAATCTATATATTTAATTAGAAAGAATTAATTTATATTTCTTTCCTCTTTTCGTTTGTACAAGAAGCGCTATTCATTTAAGTCCCCTATTTGGACATTATATCAGAATATTTTTCACACATTTATTAATTGATAAACTGTTAGATACTTGTATCACGTGATTGATAATTACGCTAATCATCAATTAAATATTTTTACTTTTATTTTATCGGCAGATATATTTGATTTGATTATCTCGTTAGGGTTAAAAGCAAAGAGGGTATGCATTTTCACTCGCTTTATTAATTTTTGACGTTTCTTTCTACGCCCGTGGAAGATTGCACCCTGTGGCAAATTCGACGGCAAATGTAATATGTCCCGTTGGGAGATCGATATATAGATACACAAGTCTCACGGTAGCTTTCTCTTTTGCTTCAGCGCATCCGGGGCATTTTTAATCCGTCACCGCTCGTTCCCACAAATCCGCACGAGATATCTTTGCAACCCATTTTCCAAACGGATCATGGTAGAATAATATCGTCGCACAAAGCTGTACAAATCGAAAACAGTTTTTAAGAACACGACCGCCTCCTGCCACGCGATTACGTCCTAAATTGGGTTATAAAATAAATAATTATTATTCTTCCGTCAAGGATTAATAATATAGATCGTGTAATTGAACATGGTATGCATATTAACGACTTTGTCGTTAGATTGTATCGCGTTTCTAGTGGATGTAATAGTTGATCTTTGCAACTTGTTGCGTTCAATTTCGTCGTAAAGCAGAAATTGCATGCTCGTGCATAATTCTTTAGATTATCGTTGACGTAATACTAGGGAATTATCTGATAATATTTTACAAGGCCGTGTTACACGCGATGAAATAATTTAAGATGATTACGTGCAAAACTCTTTGCATCTCAGGAATAAATATCCAATTAATCATCTTAATCGATAAAGCATTACATTAATTAATCAGATGAGATAATTAGGATGTTTACTCCGTAGAGAACCTGGAATTTTCCGTAATTCTTTTGTATCTGGAAAAGTCAGAATTATTATAAAATTTTATCGAGATTCGGAAAATTTTTTAAACAATTTTCTCGGATAATTTTGTTTTTACATTGTTAAAAACAATCAGCAAGCCACGTAAATTGTTTTTAAAATATATTGTAAATATATTTTTATTTATATATATATATACATATATTTGATATTTAAGAATAAAATATTGAACATGCAATGCATATTCTTTATTTTAATTTTTACGATAAAAAAATGAAAATATTATACAAAAATGTTTATCTTTCAAAAACTATTTAATTTTGTTCAGTATATTTGTAATCTAGCATTTGAAAATTAAGTAACTCTGAGTTTTTTCGTGTAAATAAAAGAATATTAGAAAAAAACAATACAATAAGAAACTTATTTGCAATAGAAAGTTGCACAAAAAATATCCAAAATATATTTTCTTTCTGAAATTTTGAACAAAGAATGCCTGGAAGATCAGTAATTTTTTTTAAAATTTGAGTAGAAAATATTGCCCTTTTCTATTATAATATATTTTATTTACGTAATCTTATTTTACGCTTGTTTTTTACAGTCAAGTGATTCTGGAGGTTTTCGCGCACGTAGAAGATCACCTCAGGCAATCGCAATGGCCACGCTATCCTTGCGCATCTCTATACCGGAAAAGAATGCCACCAAGATGATGCAGTTTGATCCCAGCACATCGGTATACGATGCCTGTCGCATTATCAGAGAAAAACTCGCTGAAGCCAGCAACATGGGTCAACGTAAATATTCGACAGTTGAATAATTTATATTTGTATAGGAAATATTTTGTTAATTTGCGGTATATTTATTTTTATTTTTGCGGTATACATATTTTTTTTCAAAATACGTATAATTTTTTCTCATGGAGATATATACGCGTTTTATTCAAAATTTTAATCGAATCATTTTAATATCGTCCATATAATACGGCAGCGAAGAGCAGTGCAAATAAAGTAAAATTCTGAAAATATGTCGGAATATTTCATTTATTAATTCATGCAATAAAGGAAAACTTGAAGAATCATACAGTAATTACTTTTTATGATCGCCAAACTGGATTTGACGGAAATAATAATGGAAATTTTCAATTTATCACTGAAATGTTCTTTTATTCATATGAATGTATTAAAAATATTAAACACACTTACGATAAAATGATATATCGTGTACCGAGAATCATAAAGGATACAGTTGCAAGATGTCTTATCTGGTTTGTTATTTTTGTAGCAAAAGACTATGGTCTATTCCTCGCTGATGAGGATATAAAGAAGGGAGTTTGGCTCGAACCCGGGCGAAACCTCGATTATTACATCCTGAGAAACGGAGATCTACTCGAATACCGTCGAAAGCTCCGTACTCTCCGAGTTCGCATGTTGGACGGAACGCTGAAGACCATGTTGGTGGACGACAGTCAACCTGTGGCAAATCTCATGGTAGTAATATGTACGAAGATAGGCATCACGAATCATGACGAGTATTCTTTGGTGCGCGAATTAGTGGACGAGGAAAATGATAATCAGAAACCCGGAAATTTCGGCACTCTTACATTGAAGCGAAAGAAGGAAGAGAAGGGCGAAAGAGACGCCAAGATGGAACAATTGAGGAAGAAGTTAAAAACTGATGATGAAGGTATTAAGATTTCGAGTTTTACTCATATTTAAACTTAGATTAAAAATTTCATCAATATATACAAGGTGAATCGAGAAATACAGTGCAATCGAGGAGGAAAAGAAGATGATTATACAAAGTAATTAAAATATAATTGAGATGATTATACAAAATAATTAAAATATAAAAAGATATAATTTCCTTTTTATTAAAATATAAAGTTTTCTTGATATTTTACACATATATTTTTTTCATTTTTTTAAATAACTTAAATTAATTTAAATCAGTTTATTTTTTAAATAGAATATTATATTTTTGTATCTATTAATAATAATTAAAGAATTCAATGATGACATAAAATAATTAAAAGTAATTCAATTAAAAAAGAAAGAAACGTAAATTATTATTTTTCCAATTTTTAAAATCAATTCTCTCGAAAATGAGAAATCTGACACAAAAAACTTATACATTTTCTTCTTGTATAAAGAAATCATCTTCTTTTTGATTGTAGTAATATTTCTCGACGTATTCTATATTACAAAAAAATATCGAATGTCAAAGATATTTTCGAGATGTATTCAAGTTTCGCGTTTATTATTTCACAGTTAATTGGATAGATCCAAGTAAGACTCTACGCGAACAAGGTATAGATGAATCCGAAACCGTTTTATTAAGGAGGAAATTTTTCTTTTCGGATCAAAACATCGACAGTCGCGATCCTGTACAATTGTCGCTATTGTACGTGCAAGCACGAGATGCGATTCTAGACGGTACACATCCGATTACGCAGGAAAAGGCTTGTGTTTTTGCTGGGATCCAATGTCAAATCCAGTTTGGCGATCATAAAGAGGAGAAACATAAGCCAGGTTTTTTAGAGTGAGTTGCGATTCGATGTGATTTTTCAATTCTATTAATATCAATATTTCACTTATTTTTCTTTTTTTTTAGTCTTAAAGAATTCTTGCCGCAATCGTATGTGAAAGTCAAGGGAATAGAAAAGAAGATCTACGCGGAGCATAAGAAACACATCGGGCTGTCAGAGCTGGACGCCAAAGTCCTATATACCAAGACCGCCAGGTCGTTGAACACATACGGTGTCACGTTCTTTTTGGTAAAGGAGAAGATGAAGGGCAAGAACAAGCTGGTACCGCGTTTGCTCGGCGTGACAAAGGACTCAGTCCTGCGACTCGACGAGAAAACGAAGGAAATTCTAAAAACGTGGCCGTTGACGACTGTGCGACGATGGGGTGCTTCACCGAACACTTTTACTCTGGACTTTGGCGACTACTCTGACCAATATTACAGTGTGCAGACTACCGAAGCGGAGCAGATACTTCAATTGATTTCCGGTTATATCGACATCATATTGAAAAAGCAAAAAGCAAAGGATCACTTTGGTATCGAGGGAGACGAGGGATCTACTATGGTAGAGGACAGTGTATCGCCTCTAAAGTGAGTATTTCTCACGCTTTCAATACGTGTTAGCTCCTTTGTGAACACTCCGAGGCGGGACCGAGTAATAATCATCATTAAGACATTGTTAGAGCAATTATCAGTTCTCGACGAGTCAAACTCTCAGTGAAGCAATCGACTTACGCATTCAACGCGCATCATGTCTCGAGAATATTTCGCGTTAATTTGATACGATCATGGAGGAGTTTCTAAGACGTCATGCAAATAAGCATATTCGAGAAGTTTCCAATTCTAACGAGTATTAGTCAGATTAAATAAGAATGTTAGTATGTAGGTATAACTTGATATGCTTTACATATATTTCGTTTGACAGGGCTACCATCATGCAACACGAGACTAGCAATGTCGGTAAAGGAAATGTAGAAGCCGTCTCGGTTGCCATACCAGCTGTCATGAGGGCCGGAGGAGATGGTGAGTGTCTCACTGAAAATCTTATAACATTTTACTTTATCCTTAAATTATTTAATATGCAATAATTAAGATTGTTCCTAAATAATATAGTACTTTACTATGTTATTTCACAATGATTATACATAATTATTAGACTCTTAAAGCCTATAATGTAAATCACAGTGTACAAAAGTTTAATCTTTTTTTGCTAAAAATTCCAAGAAATTTGTGCAATTTTTATTTACGCAAATTTGGATGTATACAGGCTGTTTCATAATTCGCGCTGAATAACTTCTCGATAAAAAATAGATCGAAAAAACTTGAACCATTTTTTCTGCGATGCTTAACGAAGGAAGAATTAAATCAAATTCACTTTATCAGCGCCATTTATTAAACGGATACATCTCCGTCGCGTGTTTATTAGTGTGCACGACTACATACTATCTGGCGCGAGGTTCACAAATCGCGAATAATATGTCTAAAGAACGATTGCTGAGATTGAAATTTATTTTATAATTTCTTTTTCATTGAACATTGCAGAAAAAAAATGATTCAGGACTTTTCAATTTATCTTTCATCAAAAAATAATGTAATTAATAGACGAAACACTTTGCATATATGGCAGCTTTTAAAAAATTTATTAGTTTTGTAAATTTAAGAACTGTAATTTATTTAAAATTTTTATATCATAGATTTATATCATAGATTATGATACACTGGCTTTTTTTCTTAATATATTGAGAGGCAGAGATCAATTAATGATATTCTTTGCACGATTGAATCCTCGGATCTTAGTTATTGATATGTATATGTTGTACATATATACACATTTTCACTTTGTAAATACACATTCAACAAGCTTCAAGCATTTGTCAAAGTATCGCTTAAATAATAAAATGGAATTATTAAATTCGTCTTTAGCTTTCGATGGAAAATTACTACATCTGAACGAACAGATTCGTAATATCGAGGACTCGATCGGGACATTCGATAATTGTAAATAAAACCATCGGGTTAGAAAGGTGCATGATATGATTTATAGGGGCCCGACCATACGGGACTGGTCACATAGGTGGTGCCCAATACACGACCGTCAGCGGACAGGTGAACATCGCTCATGCCCCACCTATGGTAAGCTCTATTGAAAACCGTTGCTCTCAAGCTCATCTTGGATGTCGGTGTTTTTTAGTTGCTTGTTATAAATATATATCGCGCCTCGAGATGTTGTAAAAATTGGTATTTTCGGGAATTTTGATGTAATAATGATAAGAGCGAATTATATTGTACTTTGTAATTATGGACGATTAGTGATGTGTGTATATGTGTCTGTATATATATATATATACATATAGATACATACACATATACATATGCATACACATGTATACTTAGGATAGTATTATGCACTTTTCGCAAATCTAAAGTCGCACTGATGGAATCATTGTGTTGCACGAGCGAAGAGCGAAATTTTTTAAGGGACTAATAGACGGTTAAATTTATTTTCATGCTAGGCGCCTTCTATTGCGGACACAGAGTAGGTACATTACGATAACTTTTTCAGTTATCTGTTATTCTTGAGTTTGTAGATCCCTTCGGTTTTAATTCTCTCGACTGATTTGTTTGCATTTCATGTTTCTCTCGCGGTACAGCGCTTACTGGTAAGATAAAATCTCCATGTGCGTCATCAGCGCGATTTAGATGTTCTCTTATGATAGAGAATATTCATATTTCTCGATCGATCAGTAAACCCTGTATCGCCGCAACTATTCGTTGCAGTTTATGTATGCTTCGTTATGTATGCGCGTTATTTACATTTCGTTGATTAATTACTGTAAGCAAAATGTTTGCGTTTCCAAAGTCGCATATTTCTTTATGGCGAAAAAATATTATTTTTTATTAAACTCGGCTGTTGATTGTAGATAGATTTTTGTAATGTACAAATGTTCAAAATTAGGTTCAGCAAACTAAAGTGACATCCGTCCTATCCGAACCGCAACGTGCCTTATTGTCGACTATCACCGCTGGTCATGAGGTGATCCACATCGCCGAGATGGAACTGTCTACGAAGGCTCAGCTGCCCGAACTAGGAACAGATCCAGCATCCTTGAAATGGATTGAACAAACAATCGATACCCACAAACAAAATGTAGGCTCGCAGATCGCGGCGATGAACGCCGCGACCGCACAGGTGGTTACGTTGACTTCGGGACCAGCGGATGATGTCGATCATACCGCGGTGGGAGCCGCGATTACTACAATTGCTACGAATCTACCGGAGATGACGAAGGGCGTGCGAATGATAGCTGCTCTCATGGAGGATGACTCGTCTGGCGAGCGATTATTGGATGCTGCTAGAAAACTTTGTTCAGCGTTCTCGGACTTGTTGAAGGCCACAGAGCCAGAGACCAAAGAGGTGAGTTCATTGTAAACAATAAAAGGAAAACTGCATAAAACAATATAACGTAAAGTTAGAATGCGTGTTCAATCTGTGTGATTGTGAAGTTAAATATTAAAATTTTAAATTCCTCCTTTTTTTCTGCAGCCTTTCTACATAACAACAACCTACGAACAATATGTAAGCACTAACATGCCAAGGCTTTGTAGCGCAGATAATATATATTTGTTTTCTTTACAGATTAATTTTTTTTCGAACCCTCGATTATTAAAAGATGCGTCTAAGATTGTAATAACTTTAAAGAGAATTTTTAAGAGAATCTGTCAAATTATTATTCCCAATATTTCTTCAATTTTTTCCTTTTCATTTCTGCTTATATATATATGTATATAAACATTATATAAATTAATTTTTATTTGCATTTTAGCCACGACAGAATCTCTTAAATGCGGCGTCACGAGTGGGCGAGGCGTCACATCAAGTATTGACAACCATTGGCGAAGAGGATGACTCGAATCGTGAGCTGCAAGATATGTTACTTGCGCTTGCCAAGGCCGTCGCCAATACAACCGCTGCTTTAGTGCTGAAGGCAAAGAACATAGCAGCTACATGCGAAGACTCAGCTACACAAAATAGGGTAATATCGGCCGCGACACAATGCGCATTGGCTACATCGCAGCTCGTAGCCTGCGCCAAAGTGGTGGCGCCGACTTTACACTCGCCCGCCTGTCAAACACAACTGATGAATGCTGTGCGTGAAGTGACTAAAGCTGTAGAGCGTCTGGTTCAAGTCTGCAACGAGACATGCGGCGACGAGAATCTGCTGAAAGAATTGAGTATCGCTGCCAGCGAAGTCAGCCGCACTTTGAATGATCTTCTCAATCATATCAAAACTGCGACTAGGGGAGAACGCGCTAAGGAATCTATTCAGGAAGGCGCGGTGGAAACCATTTTAATTGCGACAGACAAACTGTTCGCCAGTACCGGTGATGCTGGTGAGATGGTGCGACAAGCACGAGTAGTTGGTCAAGCTACTGCGCAGTTGATTCAGAGTATTAAAGGTGAAGCGGAGAGACAGACGGATTCAGAGCAACAGCAACGGCTTCTGGCAGCAGCAAAACTGCTCGCTGACGCCACAGCCAAGATGGTGGAAGCGGCACGGCAGTGCGCCAGTAGCCCGCATGATGCAAGAATGCAGGATCAACTTCGCCAGGCAGCTGAGGAATTACGAGTTGCGACTACTGCAGCAGCGACTCCAGCATTACGCAGAAAACTCATTACACGCTTGGAGGCGTGCGCTAAACAAGCCGCGTCTACAGCCACGCAATGCATCGCGGCATCTTCCGGTGTCGGACATCACAACACGAATCCGACTAGTCAGGAGGAACTTAACATGGAGTGCCGTACAATAGCTCAACATATCCCTTATTTGGTATCGGGAGTAAAAGGCACACAAGCACAACCAGACAATCCTACGGCGCAACTAAACTTGATAAACGCTTCTGAGCAGTTCCTACAACCGGGTACTGCCGTGGTAAAGGCAGCTAGGGCCGTTTTACCAACTGTTACAGATCAGGCGTCTGCTATGCAGCTAAACAATACTTCGCAGCAGTTAGGATCTTCATTAGCGGATCTAAGATCAGCGGTGACGCGCGCTAGAGAAACCTGCGGTGGATTAGAGCTTGACGCTGCGGAGGAATTGATAAATAGTTTGAAAGACGAACTGGGCGAATTCTATCGCGCCGTCGAGGCTGCCTCATTGAGGCCACTACCGGAAGAGACAACGGAATCTACTGCTTTGCGACTTGGCGCCACATCAAAGAATGTTGGATTTGCTATGGCACAGTTATTGTCCGCCGCCAAACAAGGTAACGAGAACTACACCGGAAGTGCTGCTAGAGAAACTGCGTCGGCTTTGAAAGACCTTACTTATGCCGTGCGCGGTGTAGCCGCTACATCTAATCAGCCGGAAACGCAGAAGAAAGTATTGATGACCGCCGATGATGTGATTCTGCGATCATTGTACTTGGTTAAGGAAGCGCGACGTGTACTGAAAAATCCTGACGATCCTGAGAATGAGGCCAACTTAGCCGCAGTCGCCAAAGACGTCTCTAATTCGTTGAATAAATGTGTATCCTGTTTGCCCGGACAGAGAGACGTAGACGAAGCGATACGCAACATTGATGATATGGCACAAGTGCTCAATATGAACGAGTTTCCACAAACGAGCAAGAGTTATGGGTAAATAGATTTTTACGTTATATATTTTTTCCGTTTTAGAATGTTTTTAATTATTTCACTTATCCTTATCACTTGCCTAGAATAATTACCATATAATAGATACATTCTATTTCAGTTTCGTTGTACACTTTGCCATTTTTACTTTGCAGACAATTACAGAGCGACCTCAATAATGCAGCCGCCAATTTGAATGACGCATCCTCGAATATAGTGTCATCCGTGCGTTCACCCGTGCAGCTCGCAAACTCGTCGAAGCAATTTACTAATGCTTTCGGCGATCTATTGGGCGTTGGCATGGAGATGGCGGGTCAAACAATGATCGAAACCCGTAGTCAAGTGGTGGTGTCGCTGAAAAATGTCACTATGACATCCGGCAAGCTCCTTGTAACTGCCAAATCAGTCGCAGCCGATCCCACTGCGCCAAACGCGAAGAATCAGCTTTCAGCAGCGGCACGCGCGGTCACCGACTCCATCAACTATTTAGTAGACGTGTGCACTTCGGCGGCACCCGGACAGAATGAATGCGACAACGCTATCAGGAATATTCAGTCTATGCGGTCTCTACTGGACAATCCGAGCGAGCCTATTTCTGATGCATCGTACTTTGAATGTTTGGAAACTGTCATGGAGAAGAGCAAGAGCCTCGGTGATGGTATGACTGGCATTGCAAATTATGCGAAAAAATCGGAGCACGAGAATTTCTCTGTAGCGGTCCGCGGAGTTTCCTCTTCAATCTGTGGCTTGATCGAAGCCGCGGCTCAAGCTGCTTACCTTGCAGGAGTAAGCGATTCTACATCAGTAGCAGGTAAACCGGGTCTAGTGGATCAAGCGCAATTCCTAAGAGCAGCGCAGGCCATACACAGCGGCTGCCAAAGTCTTGGCAATCCGACCACTACACAAGAGCAAGTGCTTTCAGCCGCTACCATAATTGCTAAGCATACTAGTGCTCTTTGTAATGCTTGTAGACTCGCTTCCAGCAAGACCAGCAATCCGGTAGCTAAACGGCACTTTGTTCAATCCGCCAAGGACGTCGCCAATTCAACGGCGTGCCTTGTTAAAGAGATTAAAGCGCTCGATAAGAATTATTCTGATGTCAATCGCGAGAAATGTGCGGAAGCCACGAAACCGTTACTCGAAGCAGTCGACAATCTCTGCACATTTGCGAGTTCTCCCGAGTTTGCGAGCCAACCGGCTAAGATATCTATCGCGGCTAGAGTTGCCCAAGAACCGATCACTAGCGCTGGCAAATCCATTATTGATGGTTCGTGCGCCATGGTACAGGCTGCCAAGAGTCTCGCAGTTAGCCCGAAGGATCCGCCGACTTGGCAGTTATTGGCTAATCACAGCAAAAGTGTCAGTGACTCGATAAAATCGTTAGTGGCATCAATCCGCGACAAGGCACCCGGTCAGAAAGAGTGCGATGCGGCGATAGAAAAGCTATCAGCACGCATACGTGAACTTGATGCTGCTTCGTTAAGTGCAGTATCGCAGGCACTGATACCACGCCGTGAGAACACTGTACAGGGATTCACCGATCAAATGGAGAGCAGCGCGAGTGAACTGCGCGAGAAGCTGGAACCCTTGCGCACTGCAGCCAAGTATGAGGCGGAAAACGTCGGTCATGCCGTCAATCAGATCGCTCTTTATTCGGAGCCGCTCGTCTCTGGTGCAATTGGCGCCGCGTCCAACATGGTGCATTCGAAGCAGCAAATGGTGCTACTGGATCAGACGAAAACTGTGGCCGAGTCAGCATTGCAATTGATCTACGTTACGAAGGAGTCCGCTGGTAATCCAAAGGCCATTGCACTGCATTCCGAGGTGGATGAAACTGTCGAATCTACTAAAGACGCGCTTCAAGAATTACAAAATACTCTCGAAACTATATCTACGTCCGCGGGCATCGTCACCGGCCTGATCGATACGATTTCCCGCGCGATGGTTAGACTAGAGGATCATCGAATGTCTACTATCGACACTGTGGATTCTTATGTGGATTATCAAACAAGAATGGTCGAAGCTGCTAAAGAGATTGCTCGCTTGGCGCAAGAAATGGTAAACTTATCTAATTATCGTATCTAATTATAAAATATATAATATACAATGCAATCTTGAATTGTACACTCTTCTTTTATTTACAGTCGACCAAATCTAGTACCGATGTAGCCAGATTAGGTCCCTTAGCAGTCGACATATCGCACAAATACACTCAGCTTGCTCGCGACACTTCTGGAGCGTCCGCGGCCGCATCCAATGCTGATGTGTCCGCTAAACTTCGTACCGGTGTCCAAGAACTTGGCCGGGCGTGCGCAGACATCGTCCGCACTGCTGGCACCTGTCAGATGTCACCCGGTGATGCTTATGCTCAGCGGGAGATTGCGGAACACAGCAAAATCGTAACTGAAAAAGTGTCGCAGGTATTGGCTGCTTTACAGGCGGGTTCACGCGGCACTCAGGCATGTATCAATGCTGCCAGCACTGTTTCTGGCATTATTGGTGATTTGGACACCACCATCATGTTCGCCACTGCTGGCACTTTGCATGCTGAGAACGAGAACGACACATTTGCCGATCATCGCGAAAATATACTACAGACCGCCAAGGCACTAGTAGAAGATACAAAGACGTTAGTCGCTGGAGCAGCATCCTCTCAAGAACAATTAGCAGTTGCAGCGCAGAATGCGGTATCGACCATCGTTCAGCTCGCCGAAGTTGTCAAATACGGAGCGGCTAGTCTGGGCAGTCAGAATCCGGAGGCCCAAGTAATGTTGATTAATGCCGTGAAAGATGTCGCTTCTGCACTTGGTGATCTTATACATGCTACTAAAGCTGCCAGTGGCAAGCCCATCAACGATCCTAGTATGGCGCATCTTAAAGATTCCGCTAAGGTAATTCGCTTTCACGCAAAATCTTTTCCATTTTGCTTCTGTGATCAATCGTTAATCATTGTTTTAATAACGAGAACGGAATTTATCGCACATTGTCGCTTGAGATTAACCATCTGCCTTCACTGGAAGAAGCTGTTTATAATGAAATGAGGAGATAAGTCTCTACGATAATTTTCAAAAGAATAATGCTTAAAATTAATTCATATTGTGATATATTAATTTGACGATGAAGTATTCTTTGAAAACTAATAAAATATGATATTCTAATGAAATCTGTGAAATGAGAATTTCTCTAATTGATTAATTTAACGAAATCTAATAATATATTCAGCGTAATAGAATATACATCCTCGACTTAATTTTCACAGAAATCTTGTGAGATGAAATTATGAATCCCCTATATATATCAAAATGAATGTGAAGACTAATAACAAATTTGCATAATTTCCATTAATTTGTCGAGTTTTAATAATGTTTTAATAATTGTTTTAATGATGTTTTAATAATTGTTTTTAAACATAACCATAGCGAATGCATATCCTTCTTAGACATTTTTTTGGGGTGGACTTTAATCGACTCATTTTGACGAACATTTGCCTTCGTATTTGCCTCTCTAACTGATTTCGTTTTCATTCTACTAAAATCTCCTTCACGTAAAACAATAGCATTCATCATCCTCATTCTCGATCGTACGAAATTGTAGATACATAGGGCAAGAGTACCTCCAGACCAAAATATATATATATATGACTGCTATTAAAGTCCACCTTGAATCGCTCTCCCCTCAGCTTCGTATTTCTATCTTTCTATATGTATAACATATGGCAGATGCGTTTTATCTGGCGGAAAGTGGCATTTTTGTTAGAAAGAATATGCTGTTTGTTTAATGATTCTCCGCCTGTTTTGTATACGTACGCTTCTTCTCACCCCCTTTCGAGGGATCCGAGCGATATATAATGAAAGCAGTAGCAGTAGCGTAATTTATCTGTATCTTGAATGTTTCGACGATGCACATGGTGGACTTTAATAATACGAGTCTCATATTGACAATTTTGGTCTGGCCGATCCCGGATAGGTTTTAGAGAGACAGCTGCAGCAGCAGTTTGTGCATCTGAGCGACATCGGCGGCTCGGAATCGGAATGGTTCGTGTCCGATCAAGAGGAGGAACTAATTCGTCTACTCTCCACTTCCGAGAGTTCTCAGCCGACACAACGGACGTCCGACTTAGTGTTACTTATGTAGTCATGTTTTTCGTCCCTCGTCATTTTATTTTTATCGTAGACTTGTATAAGCTATATAGCATGTAGCCAAAGTATATATATATATAATTTATGTGTGAAATTTTTTACGTAAAAAATATGGTATAATTGTTAAAAATTGTTAAAAATTATATAAGGTATCAGCGAGAGATGTAGTAGTAATCGGTAATTATCAATGAGATTTATTTGTTAAAATAGTTATCATTTCTAGCATTCGTTGATATGGAAACAGCTGTTATAATTTAATGCTTAAAAATAAATCCCAAAATATTCAGGGCCACATAAAATCATTTGAAAATTAATATGTTTTATGTAAATATTATGATAATCAAAATATTTCTTTTGCGCTTTTTAAATGGTACATTAAAATAATTTTATGTCAAACGATTTTCTTCGTTAACGATCTACATACTCTTTTCGCCGAAGACTTTATTTCAATTTAATTTATATCATTTTATCATACGAATCGTCTTTAGGTACGTATATTCTATTCACAGCGATGCATTTTGACTATTAACAGTTCTTCTAGTTGACGCTTTTGCATAATTTTTTGCTTATTGTTTCACCGTCAGATCATTAGATAGGCACATGTAACTACGACACGCGCAATAGGCACTAATCTTACTTATGTGTTAACACGTTACGATAGTAGTATTTGCATTTTCTTGTATTTGTTCATTATTTTAAGATCATCACTAAAAACATAATACTACTAATTCTATTCTGTTTCTCTAGATATCAATGTTACAAGTGTAGAAACGATTTGTATATAATTAACATACTTATACTATGTTCTAATCTTCTTCAGGTAATGGTGACCAACGTGACGTCGTTGCTGAAGACAGTTAAAGCCGTGGAGGATGAGCACACGCGTGGTACCAGAGCATTGGAATCTACGATCGAGGCTATAGCACAGGAGATTCGAGCACTCAGCAGCTCAGAAATTCAGAAGAGTAACGTGACCCCAGAGGATCTTGTACGCTGTACGAAGAGCATCACTCTATCGACGGCGAAAGCGGTCTCCGCTGGAAACAGCTGCAAGCAGGACGACATAATTGCTGCCGCCAACATGGGAAGAAAGTCTATCAGTGATATGTTGACGATCTGCAAGAGTGCAGCCTACAATTGTGCCGAAACCGCCGAGTTGCGCGATCGTACTCTTCAAGCGGGTCATGATGTCGCTATCAATTATCGGGAATTACTTCAAGCTATTCTGCAAATATCATCCAGATCGGGCGACGCCAAACATACTTTACCAGCAATTTCTCGCAAGATTGCACAGAGTGTGACGGAGCTGGTGGCAGTGGCGGAGCTATTGAAAGGCAACGACTGGGTCGATCCTGACGACCCTACGGTGATTGCAGAGAACGAATTGCTCGGTGCGGCCGCCAGTATTGACGCAGCCGCCAAGAAATTGGCTAGTCTGAGACCGAGGAGAAGCATTCAGGTGAATTTTCAATTATTACATGATTATTCGTAATGATTATTCGTAATGCAACAGGTACGAATAAACATCGTTCCGGTTTCCGCGAGATATGTTTGATTTTCTTGGTCGTTGTGAATGATCGACCGAGAATCGAACATATTATTACGGCGATCGGGGAAGTCAACTTTCGCAGCGGGTAAGTTAATTAAAAATTCCACAATATTATTAATTATTCGAATTAATAAAAATTATTTTTCAAAAATATTAAAATATCCCCAGAAAGATTATTAAATTGCATTTCATTTTTTAATGCGTACATTCTCTTATTTTTTATAGGAAACTAACGAAGACATGAATTTTGATGAGATGATTCTGGAAGCCGCCAAATCGATTGCTGCTGCGACTTCAGCTTTAATAAAAGCTGCTAGTGCCGCTCAACGGGAGCTCATCGCGACTGGCAAAGTGTCACGTACGCCGTTGACCAGCTCCGACGATGGTCAGTGGTCCGAAGGTCTCATTTCGGCTGCTCGAATGGTGGCAGCTGCTACTCATAGTCTCGTGGAATCCGCGAACGCTCTCGTTCAAGGCGTAAGTTCCGAAGAGAAGTTGATCTCCAGCGCTAAGCAGGTTGCCAGCAGCACGGCGCAACTGTTGGTCGCTTGCAAGGTCAAAGCCGACCCTGACAGCGAGAGCACGAAGCGCCTACAGGCGGCCGGAAACGCCGTGAAACGTGCTACCGATAATCTCGTTCGTGCTGCGCAACAGGCTATTCAGCAGGAGGAGGACAGATCGTTGGTCCTGAACCGCCGTATGGTGGGCGGTATCGCGCAAGAGATCGACGCACGCTCGGAGGTGTTACGAATTGAGCGCGAGCTGGAGGAAGCACGAGGCAGACTTACCGCTATTCGTCTAGCCAAATATAAGAACCGGTCGGATCTGACCGATGGTGACGGTGACATAGCGGCAGAGCAGAGCGGCTATCAAAGCTATACCACCCGATATGAGACAAGGGCATATGAACCGCAAACTACACCCTCGCCTATTCAAACGATGAATCACACTTTAGACCAGCTTCAATCTACCACGCAACACATTAGTCATCAATTCGGTGATCGGCAGAATCTGATCAGCCCAGAGAAGGTACATTCGACACAAAGCACGCTCGAGAGGAAGATGAAGGACAGTCAATATCACCGATCCATCATGGATAATCAGTACGGATCCTTGGACAGAAAGTATACTATCGACAGTCATCAAGAGAGGAGTCCGTACGTCGTTACTGAAAGGAAGATTATAACAGACAATTCTCCCGGTCAGTATAGTTCGATCGAACGGAGGATCAATCAGGAAAGTTACATCGCCGAAAAGAGACACGCAGACGGGATCGCTTCGTATGTGCCGCCACCGCCGCCTCAACACATCTCGTATTCGCCGAAACCTCCTTCGACCATCCCCAAAATGATTCAAGAGCAAACTCCCAGTGATCCAAAGTCTTTGCAAGATCAGCAGAAATATCCGATCGATCGGTTTTCTAGCATTAGCCCGATGAGTACGTTCCGTTCCGAGAAGCAAGTGGACACTCAGCGATTCGGTAGCAGTGTTCCGCAGCATCAAACCTTCAAGAATATTGAAAGCAAGGTCATCCCTGGCGGGAGAATCGAAACTATCACAACGAAGACGTACACATCTACGCCTGGCAAGAGCAGCAGCTCCAACTATGAGGCTGCAGAAGAGATCAAAGAGTATAAAACATCTGGCAACGATCTATCAACGTTCAAAAGTTTCGACAATGATTCCGTCGAAGAACGCACGATAAAGCAATCGATGCACAAAGTCACGGAGAAGAAAACCGTCACTATGACGATGTCGAGTCGGCAAGAATCCAACACGAAGACCTTCCGTTATGAGGATAAGCAGTGAAATCGAAAATAATAAGACGAAGTCCGCTCGCGTGGTAATCGTCTAGAAATAATTTTAAGAAAAATGACCCGTCTAATTCGTATGGCTTAAAAGAATGCACTATAGAAACGTGATAAGATATAGCGCAAATTTGTTTTAACAAAATAGTCTGTCAATTAAAATCAATAGTATATCCAGCTTTTTTACCGATATCAGAATGAGAAAAATTCGACAGTGATATTTGATGTATTTCACAGGAATAATGTTCAATCTTGCTGATATTGTGCGTACATACAATTTATCGTTTCGATGCAAAAAACGAAGAGAAACGACAAATTATTTATACGTAGAAATGAATATAGAAAGTGCCCTTAGATAAATATAACAGTCGTGCTTTCGATCTGTAGCCTTACAAACTACGATAGCTGTATACAAACAATGATTTTACGATGACGAATATTGAGATTGCACGTAATATTACATATTTCGGAAATATACGAGAATAATTAGCTGTTCGCCTCTGTATTCGCGCAGTAAGATTTTTTTCGCTTACCATACTTCTCGAAGATATTTAAACATATGATAATCACGCTTGGTTTAATGTAGACTTTAATTTTATGTTTACTCATTTACGGGTTAAGAAAACCACGAATTAACAAGAGAAGCAACATATCATTTTAATTTTATTAATTTTTTCGATGCCGCGCGGCGCCAATATCGGCCCGGCGAAGCACTGCTACTATTAACACTTTCCGCTTTCTCGATTAACCCTTTTTTTCCCCTTTCCATTCTGGCGTCTCTATTTATTCCGAATATCTACTGTTGTCGCAACACTTTTTTTCTATCTATTTCAATCCGACTCTTATTACAGTTTCTTCTAGTGTGCGATCTACGTGCCTGTAGGCGGTGGCTCGTTTTCGATGAATTTATTAACATAATAAAGCTCATATTCGCGCGAGTCTAATTAGACTTCCGTGAGTGATCGATTAGTGCAATTGTTAGTCTCCTTTTTTGCGAATAGACAAATGTTATTATTATATAAATATTCGTAGTATATACGAAAGTCGGGAAATCTCTGCGATGTCTAAAGCTAAAGGTTCCAACAAGAAAAGTGCCTAATAATAAGTTCAATGAGCTGCCGCTTCCTTTCTTAACGTAACGATCCTATAGGAGGTTTCTAATATTACCAAAAAATCGAATGCTTTATTAATATGTTTATAATGGGACATAGATATACCGAGAGCAAATGGCTGACATCAAAGCTCTTCTTCCAAAGCGATACGCGTGTGCGTTTTCTTTTTTTTTTCTATCGTTGTGTACCTTTTAAGAACATCAATTGCGAGTTTGTTTTTAAATTCGCACAAACCGATATTTCAATAATAGCGAAACACTTGACATTCTGTTAATTAGTCTTGTCAGTTCTGCGTCTACATTGTCATTGTATTATAAAGCGAAATATGGAAGAATCATCAATCTTTTTATTGGATAATTGTCGGATTTAGGCGAAAATTGTGAGATTAGAGACGCGCAAAGAAATCGAATATTAATAACGCGATCGGTTTGTGCGGATTTTTGTATCTGAAGGAATGTGCCATGATATATTATGAATGTACTGAACGATAATGTGAATTATATAGGGTGAATCAAAATTCGCAGATGCGAAATGCACGCATAATTGTTTATATCAAAACGAACAACTTTTTTCTCTGGAAAAATTGCTGAACATTACTTTTACATTTAAATTAACGAATAAACGCTTTAGATTACGCTTGAATTAGGGCACACACGGCATATGTGGTATTTAAGCGTGTATTTGACGCTATTTTACTAGAAATCTAAATATCATGCATAATTCTTGTAAAACTTTTAGCGAATTAATAAAATAGCATACATGCTCAAATACCACATATATCGTATGCATGCCGCTCATGATTCAAGCGTAATCTAAAGCGTTTCTTCGGTTAGTTGCTCTCATTTAAGGATGCTTTGTATGTACAATCTCAGCAAAAAGTAGCTGAAAATCAATATTGACGAATATATCCACTTTTGATGTATTTTCAGTATAAAAAATTGCGTGGAATATTATAATTTGATCTTAGCTATAGTGCAGAGATGTATTTTTTAATATTTATTGTGTTTTTACTGAAATATTCCGAATTTTGTTAATCGAAATGATTAACTTTTGGCAGAGAATTTTCCCTTATATCAGATATATAGCTAATTTCATTGAAATATATTTAATATCTTTTTAACCAATTAATATTATTTGATCAAATATTTCCTCTGTATCTAAACTTTTGCAAATTTTAAACAAATTCTGAATATTATTTCCATGTGTTTTTCTCACTTGAATCGACATGGTTATACGTTTCCCATAAGATCACATGTTAATTCGGTGCAAATTAAAATCGTTATAAGTTGTAAATGCTTTAGTAAATCGATTTAAAAATTGTACTGAAGATTCTAAACATATGTAAAGACATTCTGTACAATTTTCATTAAATTCTCAATATTTTGAAAATAAATATAAAACATTCTTAAAAAGTAATGTTCAGACGCTAGAGGAAAAAGATGTCTGTTTACGAACAATCATGCTGTACATTCCGCATCCGCGAATTTTGATTCACCTTGTATAATGATGTATACATAGATTATATATTATATATGTTATATGCGAAATGTTCACACATATACAAGATAAAGTAATGATTTTTGCGATTAAAATAATGTTTTTCGTATATTTTACGTTTTAACAGTTTATAATTGACTATGTAGAGATATTTTTATACATAGTATATATAGAGGCTGTATCTGCACGCGAAATATCTGGTTCTAATACTGGCTCAATCCTAATATCGGCGTTTTCTAGTGTCTTCAAAGTGTCTACTATCAGCAAAGTGCAGATATTCTTACATAAAATTAATAACGAAACTCTCGGAAAGACCCGTCTCTTTAAAAAAAAAATAGTTTTTTGCACGTTTCTGAAAATTATCCGTTTTCTCATTTTAATTTCCGTTCGCCTCTGTTTCTAATTGTATTACTGCTAATCGTTCAGTAAATGATGTACTCGATTTAATCAATTATTGTTGAACAGGATGTGTTTGATATAATTATCATCGAACAGGTTCAAAGTAAAATCAGTCAAAAAATATATTTAAAAACGCTAATATTTTCTTTAGTGTGATTCATGATTGGAAATTTATAAATTTATTAGCTTTAGGATTATATCGCCGCAAAAATTTTACATCCTTTGTGTAAAAGTTATCACAACAAATTTTATTAAATCGGATACTTCTAAATATACATATTTACGTATGCGTTAATTATTTTAAACAAATTTTTGTAAATTTCTTGAATTATATATAAATATTACGCAGATTTTTTACGGAATGTTACAAGATACGACATTATGTTGACATTTTTAAATCGCTCTTTTATCTATTATCAATCTTGATTACATGTTACGAAAGATATTATCATTATTATGGTTTGTATTATTAATCTTTTTACGCCATTATATTATTGAATCTAAATGTTTATACTCACATATATATACATATATACATACAGACGTAATCAATAAAGAATTTCTAACATTTGTTGTTTGTTATTTTTTTTAAATTTTTCAAAGATATCTTTTGATCTGCATATTAATTACTTAGAAAAACAGTTTATTAATAAATTGATCGAAATTTTTACGACAACGATAGTTAATTATTGGATTAATTTACGATGTTTTTATTAGATAAAAAGACACAAAGAGATGAATTTATGCATATTGTTTCACAATTATTTGCATGTTTATTGGAGTTTGTTGAATTCTTTTTACTCGATAGAAAGATATATAAAGAAGTAAACATATACATAATTCTGATACAAGAAGATGTGCGATTGATCTCGTAAGAATAAAGATTAATGCGGGATTAAACATGTCAATAATAAAAATAAGAAACTTTGATATTTAAAATTACAATATAATAAAAAGAAATAATTTGCATAAATTTGTAGATACGTTAAATTCGTTAATACTGTCGAATTTCATATAATAAAATGCTTTGTATTATAATTAGTTTTATGAATATTTATAAAATAATATTCTTTCAGAAGAGCATTGTTTTTTTTACTTACATATTTGCCACATAATTTTAAAGTGAAAAACAACGCAATAAATTGCAATTTTATTTTCTGAATGTGCTATTAAAATAAGAGTATAAAATAAGGAAAATTCTACAATATTGTACATTATTTAATTCCAGCGAGTTCATGAATAAGGCTGAAATAAATTACGTTTTTCTAAAATAAAATAGTAGCTTAGTTGTCTTTAATTTTATTGTAAATAATTTGTAATCTGTTTCTGATTTAAATAATGTTAGTTGGGATTGCATATGTTAATTTCCTTGAAAATTTTTTAATTAATTTAACATATGTATAATCTTAATCCATATACAATTCGTATTGGTATTATTTATAATTGATTAGAGAAGTTATTTTTGTTTAATGTGTTTTTCAAAAGATAAAAGTATTCAAACAAATCTGAAACAATTTATGCTTTTTTTGATCCTTCTAAATAAAGGCTAAAATAAATAATTTGCTTCAATGTGTTTTTATTGCAATGTATTTTTATTGTTCTATATACATAATTGAAACCAAAACTTTTTCGACATGAAAATTGAGACTCTAAATAACAAAAATGGTCATGTTAATTAATTAAGTTGCCATTTTAATTGATTAATTAAAATTAAATATTTAAATTCAAGATATGAAAAGTCATAATTTTTCAAATATCGATTGTCAAATGAAAAATGCTTTCAATTTATATCAAAAATTTTTTTACATGAAATTTTTATAAATATTGGTTGTTTACATTTAAAAAATATTTGCAAATATAAATATAAAAAGAAAACTATACTATATAATACTATACATTAAAAGGAGCATATAGATAATACCAGATGAGCGTCGCATATAGGTTTTTTACAAAGCGTGGAATAAAAATGTGTTTTTCTCATTCCTGGTTGAAAAGAAAATGTTACTTTATTTTGTCGAACTTATTTTCACTGTTTTCTTTATCTTGTTTGGCTTTTACTTTCATCAGTATTTGTATGATACTCCATTTAATAGCTTTATGAATATCATGTTGCTCGAATCTTTCACGCAGATACGGTACGATCAGAGATATCGCAAGATCTTTCAAAAATATTCTCTGATTTCGCATTTTATGTTCGGGATTGAAATTGTATAAAATACAGCTATTGACCGCAGCTTGATCTAGCATTCCTAAAAAAAATCGCAGGGACCATCGATTTGTTTTTCTCGCGCAAGTATAAGAGGTACAAAGTTGTTCAAAAATATTAGTACTGTCTTTAGTCTTATTATAAAAATCAATGATTTCTGGTTTATCCGATTCTTTATTCTTAGTTGCACCGTTTTTATGATAAGAAGATAAAAATAAGCTAACTTTTTTTGAATAAATATGTTTTTCTGAACAGTATGATAATAAAACGTTCGTGTCGTCGTAGGCACATCGAACCGCGCCTGCTGATGTCCAACAATCGAAAGATTCTGGAATGTGTGTTTTGCGTTTCTCTAGAATACCAACCATAGTCAATTGGTAATTTCTTAACGTTTCACTAAAGACTTCAACAGAATTAATATAAGAATTGTTGCATGTCACATTTCTGGTCGTATGAGAAATTGATTCGCATAAAGTTCGTACGCAATAATTTGGAAAAGTTTCTCTGTTTCTACTTGTAAAAAGCATTTCCTCAGTTCTTCCTGGATATGGAATCGCGTTATACATATAAAACGTTTTTGCATCATTCAAAGAAGTGATTTTTATGCCGCAGCGTTCAGGATTATTTTTCATATAAACTTTAGCCCCAAATTTACCTTCGAATTTTAAGAATTGGTCATCAAGCGTTAAAAATTCTGATGGTGTATAATTCTCTCTACAATTTTTTATGAATATATTCCAAATATCGCGAACGGGCTCTAGTAAGTCTCTTCTTCCTATAACACGGGTAAATTTATCAGCGAAACGCAAGCGAGCCGCAATAAATTCAAAACGCTGACGAGACATAGTCGTTCTGTAAAGCGCAGATTCGAAGTCTGCCGACCATAATTCTTCGATCGTAATATCAATTTTCTTTTCCATACCGTTAAAATACAATAAGCCGATAAACGCTTTCAACTCCGTCATGTTCAAATTATCGATAAATGTTGCATTCGCGCAATTTTCTGTTTTTCTATATCTTTCTATTTCTTGATTAGTATATTTCAACACGATTTCGAGTAACTCGTCAGAAAAAAGTAACGACCATACCTCTAGTGGCAATTTCGCATGAATTGCTTGATTTTTCGCACCTGGTGATATGACGGAGACGGAATGCAGCATTATGTCCCATTGACGTTCTCGCGTTTCCGGTGGAGCAAGATACCATTTATGTCTGTATATATATTCAGGATATATATTCGCTTGTTTCTCCACATTATCATTTGTCACATTGTCAGAATCCACTAGTACCCCGTAGTGTGATTCGATATCTTGGTACAGATTGTTTTTATGATATTTGAAGACGTCTTCGTTGTCATCAGAATCATCTTCGACAAAATCTTCATCGCCTTCGCTATTTTCTCCTCCAAAGTAATGGTCTTGGGCTTCTAAGAATTGAGATATCTCTTCTGCGGAGCGTTGCGTCATACTTTCAGCTCTATCTACAAATCTAATTCACAGAGAAAAATATCCAATTTTTTTACACAAATTAAACAAAATATGTTTAAAAATATTGCACAAAAATAAATTCTTAAAAAAGAAAAATGAAGATTTACTTACTTTTATAAAAAGTATACATAAAATAGACGGAGAGGTTTTTTCCTTGTCCTTGAAAGATCTTTCTGGCTTGCTGTTTAGAGAGAAACTAATGTAGGTAACCAACCCCTTAGCTTTTATTTCTTCGATACAACAATTTTTTTATAGGTGGGGAAACGGTCTTACTTAGTACCGTTAAATTTTGATTATTCAAAACCGTTAAAAATGATAGGATGAAAAATGACATTTGTATATGATATACGGTTAATATCGTACATAATAGCGATACATCTAGCACTAAATAATGATGTGTGATAAAGGAAAAAACAAATATTCATATTTTTATGCCTGATCAGATTGTGTTTTGATGTTTTCAATAAAGTGCCTGTAATTAATAAAAAATTCAATAAGCAATATCAAGAAGCAAAATATGGATCTTGAGCTGCACGTTATAAGTGCATATTCTATCGTAGCATTATTCCTTTCATTATTGCATTGTTATATCGTGCGATCATTATAATATACGAGACAAAACGTCGACAACGAAACAAAAATTTTATCTCAAGTGAAACACAAAAAGCGTCTTTCAAATCAACTTTCAAAACAACAATCAATATATAAATATAAATATAAATAATTATTCAAATATAAATAATTATACAAATATAAATAATTTCACTTTCAAAACAACAATCGATTAAGATCTCTTTAATCTTTGCTCGCATGATGCAACATGTTATAAATATTTTCTCAGCGTTTATTATTTGATTAAATAAATCAGAATTTTATCACAGATTATGCACATTTATTATTATATCACAGATTATGCAATCATAAATTTGTGTAATATAAACCGGTTTATACTTGCACTCGAGTTTCTGGGTATTACCCGTGACGTAGTGTGTGAACTACATGCAATACGCAAGTAGAATGATCCCATTATATGTGACTCAGCTATTCTACTTGATTGATCATACGTCACAATGTACAACTTCGTTTAACAAGTGATACCCTTTGTAACGGATTTCTCCTGTTTAGGATTAATTTGTTTACATCTTTATAATGCCGATTACATTAATGGAAAATTTTGCTTATCACTGATATACGTACATATTCCGTTAGCATATGTTATTTACAATGTATACTTTTGTCTTTCCTTGAATCATCGAAGTTCTGAAATGGATCGATACATTTCGTACTTTTATGTTTTGACAATACTTATACAGTCACTATAAATAATTATTTATTTAGATTTTTCTATTCTTACTTCTTATTACTGTTATTTAATATATCATATTTATTACGAAACAATCAATTAGATTTTTTAAATCTTTATTTAGATAAATATGTTATATACATATATGACATGTTATAAACATTTTTAACGTTTCTATTTGATTGAATAATTATATATATATATATATATATATATATATATATATATATAAATTTAAATATATATACAATTTTTCTAAATCTTGTAATTTTATATTTTCTTCAAAATATAATTTTTGATATTTCGCTACTTGAAAAGTTCAAGAAGAATAATTTCAGTGGATTTACTCGATTTCATTTATTAATATTCAAACATTTAATTGAGTGGCTCAGATGTCAAGCAGTACAAGTCCATCCAAACTCAATTTCGGGTTAATAGATTTGAAGTGTAAGCAATGTGACCTATCATCAACTATTATAACTACACACTGAAATCGTCTTTTTAAAATTAATTAAACCTGCGTAATTAAATCATTTATTATTTATATGTGTATTTATGGTAAAAACAAACGCAAAAATCTTTATTGCGTATTTTATTTTTAATAGATGTCGATGGCAAAACGATAATATATAATCAAGAATTCATGTAGAATTCTTTCCAAAAGAAAAAAAAGAAATATTAGATATTAATAGATGTTAATAGATGTTAATAGATGAATTACGTCACAGAGAATATAAACTTCCTTTCTCGATTCGTTCATCGATGAATGAGGAACTTCCTGTAATGAATAAGAGATATCACAAAATAGATTATACACGGAAACTTCAATTGGAGCTTCCGAAGGAATGACGAAAACGCTCGATTCTATCTTCGTTTAATTGTGATGTAGAACGAAGACCAGCTTCTTGAATGTAGAACTTGCTGCGAAGAGGGAGAAGAAGGAGTACTTACGATTTAATCTGACTTCAAAGCCGTAGACTTTCGTCATATGAAGCAAGCATTATAGATCGAAGCGTTATCACTATTATAATTAATGCGAATAAAATTGCACAAATATTCATTATAAGATGCATCAAACTTTTCAAATGAATAGGAAAGAACAAAAATTATTCTTATGTATTTTTTCATTCTTTTCTTCCTCTGAATTTGATTTTTGCATATCAATGTTGTGTTGCTTTAAGCATCATCAATATACGTATGCATTTGTACTCTCCAAAAGTGAATCTATGCATTTGTATTCTCTAAAAGTGAATCAGTGTATTATCACTGTAATCAGTGCTGCACTTATAACTGCTTGTAATCAGTGAGTATTTACTGTTTTTCAGTGATAATGCACTGATTCACTCTAGTAAAAGTAGTATATATACTTTTAGAAAGTATATATACTTTTAGAGATGATACAAAATCCAATTATTTAATATTATTATGACATCATGTTTGGTAAGATTGAAGCACAAGTTTGATCATAATTAATATAAAAATGAAAGAAAAAGTTAAATACAAGTTAATAATAATTTGATGAATTAATATATATATATATATATATATATTGAAAAGGAAAAAAAATTACGTAGTATGAAAAATACAGTTTATGCAATGTATATATTCAATATTAATAACATGCATATAATAATTTGTTCAACGAAAAAATCATTGAGATATTTAATATGTTTAAATATACATAATCAATGACATTTTTAGATTAAATATGAAACACAAATTTGATAAAAAAACGTTTATATAAAATAAACATTTAAATTAATATTAAACATGTAGTAATGAAAGATACGAACTGAAAATTTTAAAAATTTCAATGTTAAAAATTATCAGAACACTTAGGAATATAAATTAAAAATAAGTTTCGAATATGAATATTATGACATTGAAAAAAATAAATCTTAATATTATGTAAAATTATTGGAAACTCAAAGCGTTAAAATTTAAATGTTTTAATGTAATAATATGTATTAGGAGACAATTTTCGGCTTGGGAAACATATTATATGAAAAAGAAAAAAGGAAAGAAAATATATTTTAACTTTATATTAAATTTAAAAAAAATTTTTAATTATTTCTTTAATCATGCGAAGATTTGAAAATGAATTAAGGAATATATGTGCTTATAAGCCCCACTCATTGTTATTACGTCAGAAACGCATCTGAATCAGACTCTACGATAGCGTCGTCACGATGAGGGATTGTCTCGGCCCTATATAAGGCTTTGAAGTCTGCATTTTATGAAGTACAAGTTCACGGCTGAAGAGACTAACACGGCAAGGGTATCAATCCATTCGAAAAGTGTGAAGTACACACGTTTTATTGTGAATTATTGTATAAGCAACAGCATTGGATTTTCCAGCTCACGCATAAACGTTTGAAGTTAACAATAGTTTCTTGTCAGGTAAGCGAAAAATTACTTTATTCCATATATAAAGTGGAAGATTTCTTTATTCCACGCATATATAAATTTATTTTAATATGATTACTTTGAGATTAATTTAAATTGATTAAGAGTTTAAATGTAAATTAATTAAAATAATTAAAAATTAATTGTGAAAGATTTTTTTGACATTTATTAAAATTAATCGAATGTGAAGGATAAACAATTATTATCAATCGTCAGCAATAAAATTTTCATAATTTTTTCATAGTCTTTTTAAAATCGACTTTTTAGATTACGCATTTGATTTTTTCAAACATTTAACTTTTATTATTAGAGTACATAAACATCAATTGCACCGATTATCAACTTGGACTATTAAATTTTTCATTTAAATCTTTTTCTGATATTTTAAGAATGAGCTTTATTAGATATATCAGCATCTTTCTTTTTTGACAAGTGTGTCTTGTGTGCACTTAATTAGGTTTTCTTAAATTAAATGTCTTACTTAATTTGTAAGTGTGTCTTGTGTGCACTTAATTAGGTTTTCTTAAATTAAATGTCTTACTTAATTTAGTATTTCATAATAATTCTTTAAAGAAATTATTAAGATAAATTATACAGTTATGCAATTCAAAATTAAACTTATAATACTTATTCTAGTTAGTTATTGTCAAAATTGGCGTTGCACTCTAATGGTGTGCTCTAACAAAAGTTAATTGTTTAAATAAATCGAGTGCACAATCTAATTAGTCGGTTTTAAGAAAATAAAATAACTGTTTTAAGAAAATTCTCATAACTGTATGTATGTTTTAACATTTTTTTATACGAATATCTATTCCCTTTCATATACATATGATGTATCCATATCCATATATATCTGTGAATGTTCTCTCGATTTATGAAAGAGATATTCATCTAATTTCTTGATATTTCAAAAATGATTTTCTTCTTATGATTTATTGCGCTTTCATCGATTTGTTAACTTCTTTTATAAATAAATAAAGAAATAAACGAAGAAATAATCAAAAGTTACAGTTGAGTTAATTAATAAAACTATAGTAATATATAATAAAGTGTAAAGTAGTAATATACATATAGTATAATAAAGTATGAAGCTGCTGCTTGATAAAAATGTTCAATTTATATTGAATTAAAATATAGCTATTATTAGTATTTTCGAGAATAAATAATTTCTTTTAGCGTTATCTTTCTTGAAATAAAGCAGCTTTTAAAAGTAGCTGAGAATTTTATTTTACTTTGTATTTGTTTTAATTATGTGTTTTTTATTTGCTTGTTTTAATTATGTGTTTTCTCTTTGCTCAAAAACAGATTCAACACTTGGAATTTTGTACAAATCCTTATAAGATAATTTAGATCGTCATACAACAATGTTGCAATCGACAGAATTAAAACGATCTTTCGACGAGAATTTATTGAATGACTATACAAAAAACGACATCGCTCTGAACGAAGAGATACAGAAGAATAGCGAATTCATGAGCAGTTTTAAATCTAATAATGATTCCGACAAATCAATTCCTGTTTCACCAAATTGCCTCACCGATCAGCATGAGACATTCATAACAATGTGCAAACAGGAACTCGGCAGCGATTTACCAATGGATTTCAATCAATGGTCTCCCAAAGAGCAATTTGACCATCTCTTAAGCAATACTAGCAAATATTTCCCAAACATACCTGAATCCCTGAGATTCATCTTGCCGGCGACTTTCGAGGATGGAGATTGTGACCGACCAGCGAACAAAATACCCGACTGGTTAGATATGAGCAAATTTTATCGCGGACAACAATTCGCTTTGCGTTACTTCTGCACACTTTCTATAAGCAATTTGATGAGTCTATTAATGATATTCAGTTTTGCTGATGGATTGAAACCCTTAATTCTCAGTCAAAAATCCAACACGCCGTATCGTGCTTTCAAGCGTTATTTATCAACAATCAGACGTTTCAGGAATTGGTATACGAGTGATCCTTGGTGTGAAGGAACGCAAGCTTATCGCGACATTCAGATAGTACGAAAGTTGCATCGCGCCATGAGACAGAAGTTATGTAGCATGAGCGATAATGAAATCGATTTGGCTGCCAAAGTGTCGTATACGAAATGCCCGATGTTTCAAACGATCGCGAAAGACTTCGCGGATACGTGTCCGTTGGCGAAGAGCCGACAATGCCCGTATACGATGTCAAAGATGAAGGGTCTGAATCAAGGTGACATGTCAGGCACGCAATTTGCCTGTATGGGTTTGATAGTACTCTATCCGGAACAATTTGGAATATATAACGTCAGCGACGAAGATCTGGAAGCTTTCTGTCATCTCTGGCGCGGTTTGGGTTATCTGCTGGGCATTCAAGATCAGTACAACTTCTGTCGTGGCAGTTTGCAGGAAATACGTCAACGTACCGAGGATTTTATCGAACATTGGGTGAAGCCAAACTTGAGTACAGTAACGGCAGAATGGGAACACATGTCCATAAGTCTCTACGAAGGCAACGGTGTAATTTCTTATTTTGACAATTACAAAGTCTTTCTGCTCTATCTTTGCGATATATTCAAGCTCAATATGCCTCGGCTGTATAACTCTCTCAGTTTCTGCGAAAGAATGACGTACGTTCTGTTGAAGTTTCTGTTACTTTTTTTCATGAAATTGCCAGGTGTATTTCCTATCATGAACGCGATGTTTCACAAGAAACTGAATCAAGCGGCAAATTTCAAACTTAAGGAACATGTCAAAATTAAAGAGAAATCATCCAGAATCATTCCGGAATTTCTCATGAATAATTCTTTAAAGAGATATCTCTTTGCTAAACTTAAAATTATATTCATTATTTATTTATTATTATTTATTATTTATTACAGTATCAATAACTATGATATTAATTTATATTTCGAATATTTTTTTCTGATATTTTTGATTTTTGATATTTTATTTACATAGATGATCTAGATGGAATACTTAGAATATTTTTAAGTAAAGAAAATATTATTATATATTTAACTTAAAATCTGTATGAATTATCACTGAAATGATTTAATTTATTTAATTATTTAATTTATATAATTATTTAATTTATTTAATTATTAATTATTATTACTTATTAAATATTATTAATTATTTAATTTATTTACATATTTAACTTTAATGTAAGTTATTTGGAAAACTATATTTAATGCTACGTTACTTATTTTCTATTTATTTTGAAAATTGGAATTTATAATTTCTTAATTTTCTAATTTTTTCGGAAGACTCGTATTTTATTTATTATAATTATTTATTAATATAAATGTATTATTTTATTATTATTTAATATGTATTGATTATATATAAATTATTGTATAAATAAATGATATTTATAAAGAGTTATTACGAATGATATTTATATTTATATTATAATTGTATTAACGATTAAGTAGAATTGAAATAAAATAAGTTGTGTGATTATTTTTGATATTAAAAAATTTTAAATAAAAAAATATGTAAAATAAAATTATACAATATTAAAATCAAGAATTATATAATATCATGATAAAATTGAAAATTATTAAAATTCAAAATTAATCTGTCAAGCATCAATTCTTAATATAAGTATTAATTTAAGTTCGAGAATTTTAAGTCTGATAAATTCTGATAATTTTATAAAACTGTGATTTTAAACACATATTCTCGTCGTCTTTATCCTTAACATCTATACATTTATCCTCCTATTCCTCGATTATTTTTAAAATAAAAGAATATGCACAAAGCATATTAATAATGATAATGAAATATTATTTGAAAAATAAGTTAATAGAGTCAAATATAAAAAAATAGACGTTCAGTAAGCTCTAATCATTTAATGATTGGCATTATCCGCAGATCGATCACGATTTCTTACAATACTTACATACTCATAGCCATCATTTTAATTCGTATTCAGTGGTACTTCTAAAAGAGATACTTATAAGAACACATTAATGAATAATATATCTCCAATTTATTTGTTAGTCAACTGTTTAAATCAGACTATATAATTAATATTTAAAATTACATTTAAATAATAAAGTATTCTATTAAGAATCGGATGCACTGTTAATTTTTTCACATAACAAGTTTATATATATTATTGCCTAACAATTATAATTAATCAATCAATTTTTTCCTTCTGATTTATTTTTTGATAACTAATTATCATTAGATTATTACGGTAATTATTCACGAATAATTATCCATGTTTATTTTTTGAACTAGAAGGATAAAGACTAAAAATTGATTGATACAATATGATGATTAGATGTTATAATTATTAAGTACAATATACGATAATAACAATTACATTATCATCGTATGTTTTAATCTGAAAATTATTTGTATTAATCCGAAATTTATATTCTATCTAAAAAATATAAAAATACGATACATTGCAAAAACAATCTTCTGGATTATCAGATTCTCTTCATCTTTTTACACATATAACAGAAGTATGATAATGTTTAAAAGATGAAGGAAACAATCGTTTAAAGATATAGTGGATAATATTAACAAAGAAACGTGAGAGATGATATTACATGAATTCGCGTCGTATGCTTCGTTTCGAAAATAAAGATATATGTTAATTATCCGGAGTAAAAAATAATTTTTGACACTCAATTTGTCGTTATTTTATATCATTGTATAATTCGTTATGTAACGAAATAAAACTCACTGCAATAAATTTGTTAACATCTTTATTAAATATAAGCTGATTGTATTATGCTCATGAATAAACATTGACTCTTACTACTGATCTTTCAATTATACGATATACATATATAGGATATTCAGATTTAATCTTCCTAGTTTTTTAATTTATTCCAAACGCTAATAGATATGTGTTGATCCTAATTATTTCGCCTAGTGATTTTTCAGAGCATAGTTTTCCTAAAAATAAAAATTAGAATCAATGAAATCACCTTTCAATTGAAGTTGAAATTATCTAGCAATAATAATATTCTATATATATATATCTATTTATATATAGAATATTATTATTACTAGATATATATATACTATATGTATATGTGTGTGTGTTTAGACAAGATAGTATCATCTTTAATAGATATTACGATAACTACTTCTATCATTGATCAATTGAAAGTCAGTCTACATCTTAAATGTTTTCGAATATAAGTATGATTGTGATTTACATGTGTTACAATTGACGTCAATATATTATGTCTTAAAACTATTAGATGTTCTTTTAATAGCATATGCTTTCATCTTAGAGACAATTTTTCTTTAGCAATAATGTTAAAAAGATCATCATTTTTCGTAAGTTTTAAATTTTTTCCATCATTTCCATTATTATATTTCTAATTAAATTTCAAATTAAACTTCTATTAAAGTAAGTTTCATATAAAATTAATTGAAGAATATAATGTTATGCATTTACTTTTTAATTCTAGAAAGCTTATAAGAGTTCTTCTTCGTATCAATTGTTTATAATTGAAGAATTATTAAAATTTCAATATTTTCGCTAAAAAATTTCAAATTAGTCAGAAAATCTGTCAATTAAAAAGACATTTAGCGGCATTTTTTAACATTCTACACAGGCAGTATACATCTAAATAATACATGAAAATAATAATAAAATTGTTTCTCGATTCGGAATACATATTATGTATAAACACTAGGTGAATACCTCTTTTTAATTGTTCTAAATCAATTATTTATTTTATTATAATGTACGTACATACATATGTAAATACATGTATTTATGTATTACTTCAAAAACACTTAAATAAATTCACTAAAAATTCATAAAAATGGTTAACTTTAGCATTATTTCCTCGTTACTCATAATGTAAACACTATAGATCTCTAATCTTTTTGATTGGACAACTTTACTTCGACAAAGAGACGGTATATATGACAATGTTCTAATGCTTTTATTATCTAAAGTGTAATTAATAATAAATAATTAATGAGTGAGGGTAAAATTAATGGACAAATAATGGACACCTATTGATATATGACGTCTTCCAACAATCTCTTGGAAGAAAACTATTCTTATTTGCCTCATTTTTTTCTCCGAATTCTATTTCTGTATACCAGATCACAAAAGATCGATTTACGCATTATTAATCCATATATATCCAATAGAAAATAAATTAAAATAGACACAATTCGTTATATATTTAATTTTAACGAAAATAAAAGAAATCAGTTCCGAGTAATTGTAACGGTTTCTTTTTTTGAGAAAATGTTAAACGTATGACTTAAATCTGAAAAAAATCGATTCCTGATTTTGTTATATCTCACTATTTTAAAAAGTTACTTAAAGAAAAAATAATGCATTTTGTCAATGTTATTTACACAATGTTTTTAATCAATAATGCATTTATAATTAAAAATTTTAACAATTGTGCTGAAAAAGTATGCTAATAATTGACGTTATGATTACAATTTAGTTAAAAAAATGGTGTATATACATACATAGAACTTGTATACAATACATACATAGAAATTCGCACAGAAATATTCCAAGAGAAAGAGAAAATGTAAACATAATAAATAAATGATTATTCATTGTAATCAAACTTCTTTCTAAGAAAATCTTCAGAGAAAGATCTTTCAAATTTCCTACGTTAAACAGGAAATACGTCAATAAGTAGATTATATTCTTCGAAAACTAGCAAACTTGTTGAGAAATTACGAAAACACTTGATTATTCTTGTTTGTCTTTTGTTCGTGACGTAAATCGAAGATGAGCTTCCAATTCTTGATTAAAAAACTGGCTGCACAAAATAATCTATTTATGTGATAATTTGCTCATATTGATTGTCGTTATCAATATGCTGCAATTATTATAGAAAACCAACAATTTCAAGGAAGGATAGATAAGCACAGGTAAATTTGCGAAAAACAAATTTCTAATATTATAATAATTAATATTATAATTAATATTATTATATATTATATTAATATTATTATTAATAATATAACAATTTATAAAATATTGATTATTAAATTTATTAAATTATTATTTATAAAATATTGATTATTAATTATATATTGATTATTATTTATAAAATATTGATTATTGATTATTTGAAATGCATTAGCGTCTCCAAATAATCTTTCTAGAGATAATAATCTTTATTTTCTTGTTAATTTCTCTTTTTTCATTTTTGCGTATCGATTTGACGCAGATATTATTGATATGCAATGTGACATAGTTTTTGAATATCGTTTTACGATTCAGTTTTCGACTATTTAGTATCATTTACATGGCTTGAATTTAAAATAGACGCAAAAAGAATAATCATTAATTACGATTATATATATATATATATATATATATATATATATATATATATACACATATATCATTATAAGAAAAACAAAAGCGAAAAAAAATAATTATTGACAATAATTTACAACAGTAACAAACTATTATAAATATATAAAGTAAAAATAAAAAAATTACATTTACAGAAATCACTATATAATTCAACTACTTGATGTGAGCGTTTAAGACTATCTCTTTTGATATTTTGGATTAAATGTATATACTTATATATATATATATATATTTCTTCGACTTAGATTGTTATATTAAAAAGTCTCTTTAACATCTTTTACTCATAGGTATTGATAATCTCATATAAATTGATTCCTCTGTCACACAAAACTTCCAACTGCTATATTAATTTCTAAAATACTAAAAATATTGAATTTATTTAATAAAAGAAATTTAACAAAAGCCGAATAATTCTTTTGATTTAACATGTGTTTACTTCTTATGAATTAAATGTTGCACTCTGTCAGATCTGATATGAATTTAATCCACTTTTTATTCATTATTAAAAGTAAGTGGATCGAATATTATTTATATTATTTTATCTTTTAATTATTATTATATATTTTAATTATTTATATATTATTTATATATTATTTAATATTATTCATATATTATTTTACACAGAAGA